TTAACTGATGAACACATAAACAAAATATGGTATACTCAAACAATGTAATATATTATTCAATCATAAAAGAAATGAAGCTCTGGTATATGCCATGACATGAATAAACCTTGAAAACATGTCTAAAGTAAGCAAATCCATTGTAAAGGCAGAAGTAAACTTCCTTTCTGCCCTTTCTGAAGGTTCACTGAAATAAGGTGACAAAAGACAGGTTAACAGGAAAAAAACCTTACACATTTATTAATATGCATAACCATGGGAGCCATACAAAATATAAGACTCGAAAAAGGGCCACATGATTGAAGCTTAAATACCCTCCTTATTAGGGAGATAAAAGTAGGCAGCTGTAACCAATTTAGAGGAGTAGTAAATTATTTTCAGGGGAAATGAATGGATTCAGGAGGCAAATATTATTTTGTAAATAATTGTCTTAGGAAACTGAATGGGACTGGCAAGTTAAGGGAAGGAGAGCAGTGGAACTGCCTTGTGAACAAAGGTTGTCTTAGTATGTAGAAAAAGCCTCCTAGGTAATCTCTACAACCTGCCCTCAAAGGAATACACGAAAAGTCTAACTGCAGGTAGTGATGACTTTTATAGTCTCTTCTTTTCTCAGGTGGTTAGTCTTTCTGGATTATTTGATGAGATTCCTGTAGAGTGAGTCTTAAAACACTTGCATTTCTTTTGAGAACTTTCCTTAGTTAGATAAGGAAATTCCGGAGAGAGAGTCCCTCCTTGCTCTTGGGGTCAGGGGAGAAGCAGCAAAATAAGGTTAAAATGTTTTTGGTTCTGAGGCAGTTTCTAAGGTACTCCAACTTCATTTAATTCAAAGTGCTTAGTATGCCAAAGCGCCACAGGGTAGGATATCATTTTCTGAGACCCAACATCATAAATACTAAAAGTAATTTAGTGGTTACCAGGGATGGTGGAAAGAAGTTATTGGGAGTTGCTAATAATGAGCATACGTTTTCTTTTGGGGGTGACAAAAATATTCTGGAATTAGATCCTGGTGACATTTGCACAACTTTGTGAATATACTTAAAGGCCACTCAATTGTACCCTTTAAATGGATGATTGGTGTATGTGAGTTACATCTCAATTAAAACAAAACTCTAGAACTTGACATATCATTCCAAATATTCAAATTAGAAGAGTCTGCTTTTAAGGTAAATAAGAAGTGGAGAGTGATCTCAAGGTCAAGAATGGAGGCTATTAGGAAATGAGAAAAATCAGAAATGAGAAGCAGGGAGCCAACCCTTCACAATTTTTTAGGTGAGCAGCAGAGGGAGCCCTTGATAGCAAAGAAAATTACAAAAATAATGTTTATCCTTCTGATCATAAAGTTAATACAACATTTTTACTGAAAATTTGAAAAAGTACCACATAAATGTAATAAAAACCTACTAATCATTCCAGCATCCTAAGAACCCTATTAACATCTCATTGATGCAGATCCTTCCAGTCTTTTTTCTGTGTGTGTACATACATATGTATGTACGTATACAGCCAAACCCACCCACAGCTCTCTTGTACATGCAACTGTGCCTCTTTTTTTGCACTTCATGTTGCTTTATATTTCTTCCAAAGCCTTAAATATTCCTAAGAATGTGGTTTTTCATGACTACAGATGTACTGTCATTAATTAAACCTATTTTTAGAAATTTTCAGTCACAAGTAACACTGCAATAAATATCCTTACACCTAAATCCTAGTATTCCCTAAAAATATATCCTAAGTAGATTTCTTAAAGAGGAATTATTAGGTCAAATATTGTTTACAGCTTTAAGTCTTTGAAGACATACATATTGCCACATTCCTAACTAGAAAATTTAAAAGATTGTTAGACTTCCACCAGAAAAGGATGAGATTTTTCTTTAGCTTGAACTTTTACCCAACTATATAATTACCAGGGTTTTTAAATTAAAAATATTTGCTAATTTAATGGACAGAAATTGGTGTCTTTTAAAATTATTTTTAAAGTGTGCCTGAAATTTTTTCATGATTTATTTCTAACTTTTTTATGCTTGAACAAATTACTTTTTAAATGAATATCGAAAATTTCTCTGCTTAGGATATTTATCTTCTAATCATTGACTGCGGAAGCTCTTCATGTATTAACTATGTTAATTAACCTTTGTCTTCTATTTTGTCTTTTTTTCAACTTATTCTTTGTCTTATGCTTTTTTTTTTAATGAGTTTGGATGTATATGTTTTTAATTTTTATGGAAAAAGATTGTCTCCTCTTTTATAGATTCTTCCTCTTTTTGTTTAAAAAGTGCTCCCATACACTGGGAGTTGATGGATATTTACCATAATTTCTTCTACTCATTTGTGTTTTCACATTTTAAAATTTAATTATTTAATTCATCCAGAATTTATTTAGGGATATGATTTGGGTCCTCTCCTTTCCTTTAAAAATGAATTAACTTCCTCAGCACTATTCATTGGCATAATCTTTCATTTCCTTCCATAATTTGAAATATCTTCAAATACTAAATTCTTATATGCATTTGAGTGTGTTGGGGACTCTATTCTCTTCTGTCTAGTCATAAATCAATATCATGTTATTAAAGCTTTATAAAAGGTTTTTAATATCTGAAGTACAGTTCCCCTATTTCTTTATAAACCTTTCTTGGTTGTTTTTATCCACAAATTATTCTAGATAAACCTTACAGTCACGTTTTCATTCCAAAATATTCCAACTGGGATTTTGATCAGAATTATAGGGGACCTACCAATCAATTTCAGAAAAAGTGACATCATCCAATAATCTAAAATATGTCTCGATTTATTCAAGTCTGCTTTTATATTAACTAAAGTCTTACAACTCAATTCATAGAGGCCCTATAGAAACAAACAAGTTTGTTTCCAGGTTTCATTGTTCTTGTTCGTGTTGGTTTTGCTTTGTTTTTCACCTGTTGTAAAAGAGCTCTTTTCCTTCTTTACAGTTATTATCTAATTATGGATATTTTTTATATTTTGTATCCAGGTATCATAGTGAAGCATTAGTGCTAATAGTTGATTTCTGAGGTTTTTCTAAATAGGTTATCCTTAAGAAATGAAAAATTCTCTACATAGTCATGACTTTGGGATCTCAAAACCAATTCGACCTGTGGAATTATAGCTCTTATGCTTCAAATGCATAACTTCTTTTTCTAAATAAAATCGAAAATTAAGTGTGTAAAATGACCAACTAGAAAGCACAAACAACTCTGAAATATACAGACTCTACTCCTCCGCTTGGCTCTTAAAGAGTTAATACTTGCCATGAAGAATTTTTTTTAATCTGATAAAGAATTCAGTCCAAAATATTCTTAAAGAGGCATTAATGACTCAAAATGTTCTTTGGTTTCTATATGGCCCCCAAAACTGTAGCGTTTTTAAAAGTCAGGTTTAGTGAGCTATAATTTACAGACAGAATTCACCCTTTTCAGGCACACAGTTCTACAAAGTTTGACAAGCATATACAGTTGAGTAATCACCACCTCAATCGAGACCGAATATTTCTAACACCCTGAGACACTCTCTGTGTCCCTTTGAAGTCAATCTTTTTCCTCTCACCCTCAACCCCTGGCAATCTCTGATTTATTTCTGTCACTGGATATTCTGCATAACATTTTTGTTTCTCGAGCTTTCAACCAGGCAAAGCTGGCCAGTAGCAACTAGCACAGAGTCCTCTCCTGCTCTTTCGAAAACCACCTTTTCTTTGCTGACAACCAACAGATCAGTCTCCACAGTCAGCAAAGCTGAACTCCAGCTTTAAACACAGGCCAATTTCTCCCGTAAAACTTGGCCTGGCGTCAGCTGGGCGGACATGCCCAGACAAGCCTGCTGGGGTAGCCACACCCGCAGGAGGCGGGGTCCTTCCAGCATGGAGCACCAGCTGCACACTGTCCCCTGTCGAGCTCAGTTCTCTTTTTAGTATGGAAGTGTGTGTGTATGTATGCACGTGTGCATGCACTGCAGAGTCCCAACCTACTTTGACATGTTTTGTGTATCTACAGTGTGAGTAATACACTGGAGGGTAGATGAGCCGGCCCCGTCTGAGAAATACAGTAGTCCTCTTTGAACCCCTCCTCCTCCTGTCATCTGATTGCTGGATGGCGTGAGCCTGTGGTATACTGGTGAGAGCCGGAAGGTCTGGGACTGGATTGCTCCTACTGAGTCAAAATACAACATAAATACCTTGGAGGAGGATCTGAGGCTGAGAACCAGCTTCAGAAAATTATAAGTTCCCAAAGAAACACACTTTCAAGCATCATGTCTGAAGCAGTTAGAAAGGTTTTCCACTTTTCTCATTTCTGCTAAGGTCCACTTTCTTTTCTGATACTTCTTTCCCCAGCTTTCCCCACATGACTTGGGCTGCTTTCCTAGTTCCCTTAAATACCGCTGTAAAGAAACCTATCTATGGTTTTATGTTACCCCATTGGAGCGTTGTCTGTGAATACAGGGCATAAAAGAGGATAAATTGCCTAACTCAATCCACCCTCGAGGCCTGCCACATTAAAAAGATATACCACAGAACTTTGGTATACCCTGAAATGATTGGAAATACTGTGAGACTGCAGTGTTTAATGAAAACTCCGAGTCTCGCTTGACGTAGATAGATAACTCTCTGATCTACACTTGGGCCTATATATAACATTTTATATTTGTCAAGTCCTCTTCAGCATTCACAGTTAATAACCAGTCCTGGAAGATATTTACAGCTTCTGTTAATTCTTATCCTGGAGACATGCAAGGTACAAAATAGGTAGGAGAAAAGCACATTTGGATAGGCTGAAATCCAAACCCCCAGGCACACACACTCTACTATCCATCAAAGTCTGCAGCTGACCAGGTAGGGCTACTTTATCTCACGCAAAAAAAAATATATATATATATCTGAATTGTATGTTACTCAAAGAAGTTGCCTGACTTAGTTCATCAAATTTTTTTGAAAAAAATATTCTTAAGATGCCCTGGTTAACTGTTTACTTACTTGGCAAATGGCTTAGCACTATGTGCAGAAAAAGGCACTAGATGTTTCTTAGATTGACTCAGAAAAAGTTAAAATGGAGACATTTCTACCTGCTCACTCGGTCCTTCATGAAGAATTCTACCACTTCCCTTGTTCCAGCTCACTCAAGGCTGGTACCATGACAACTCCTGGTTTGAGAATCGGTGATTTAAGTGGCATTTGACCACATCTGTCCCCACTTGGGGCTCTCTGCTCTGTAGATCTGCTGACTCAGAGTCCACTGGCTGCAATGCTGACACACATGAACTGGCTGCATGACCCGTGGAAGGCACAGTGGGGCATCTGCCTCACCAGCTTCCTTCAGGTGTTCCACTGAACCCCAGCATTCAAATTTTCATCTGTAGGAGAGGAGGGGAAGGGAAGGCTCTGGTCTGTGGTGCCGTGGGATTGCAGTGATGCCTCTAGGTATCCCCCATCATACTCTAACCATTTCCTACATGCAAAGTGCCAACCTGGTTAAGCAACCGTGTACATGTGTGCTGAGCACCAGGCACCCTCCCATGAGACTTCTGCAGCATTCCAGCACTCCATCCTCCTCCAACTTCCAGTTTAGGACAGGCCCAAGAGAGGAATGGTGAGAATAGAGTTAAATGTGACTTCTACTTCTTCGTGGGTCCCCTCTTCCTATCCTCCAGGCCATCAGACCTCCCCCTATAAACAGACGTGTGCTCAGATTATCTACTTTTTGGAAAAAACAAGGAAATGACAATACTAGCAAAACTTTATTGGACTAATGTTTGTCTGAGTACTAGGAACTGTGCTAAATACATCACATTTATCTCATTCAGTTCTGACAAGAACCCTATACAGACAGGCGTTGCTGCCGTCCCATTTTGTAGATGGGGAAAACCGTGGCACAGAGGTGAAACGGACTTACCTACACGGATACGCTGCATCAAGATTCAAGCTGAGGTTCTGACCCCAAAGCCTGTGCTGCAAACTAGAGTCCTCCTGTGTACATTTCACATCTGGAATTACCATCGAGTATTTTGCAGTGACTAAAATAGGCACATGAATGAAGAGGTAGACAGGTCTGCCTGAGAAGAGACTCGAAGCCAAAGCACAGCTCAGCAAGGCCAGCGAATTTAAGTGTATCCCCACAGGCCGCTGGAACTTCGTCTGGGTGCATTTGTTTTTATAAGCATGGGTACTGCAGAGTCATTTAAACACACGTGCTTGCCAGTACAGAACATCATCTGATGGCAGCAACCACCTGGTGCTGGCCACGACTGAGGAGGGAACACATCAGGTGAGTGTGGGCCAACCCTTCCTGCACTGAACAGGAGTGGGGGCGGGAAGCGGGGTGAGATGCTAGATTTTTTTTTGTTGGGAAGGATGAGGAAAGCAGTCCTGAAATGTTTTTCACAGAAATAGAAACTAGTGAAATACAAACTGGCATTTGACTACTTTAGAAAAAAAGAGAGGAGGGTAATAGGCAGGAAAGTGATTGGCCGCTGCTGCCGAACTAAGGAACTTTTAAAATTTTGTTTGTTCCCCCAGAGGAGTACATACCCAAACCACCAAGAGAGGGTAAGTGATGACAAGCGGATCTGCAAGTCGGGGCCCTAGTCACAGCAGCAAGCACCCTGTCGCACAACAGCTTTGCAACCAGCAAAGTTGCAGCTTCTGCTATAGCACACATGCAGGTGCACATGCACAGACACACACACACACAGAGCCCATCCTCCTCAGCCTGGATCCCTGCCTGCACCAAGACCATTCCAGCTGCACGCAATAATTAGGCAAGCAACTTCTAACCCAGCATAGGGGACTCAGAAGAGATAATGCTTAATTTTTTTGCAAAGGCTTCTTAAGGCTCCAGGGACCTGTACCCCCAGGTGGAGAATGCTTTCCCAGAAGCAGAGCTTGTTTCTCCAGCCTGAGTGTGTGTGCTGCAGAGCTGGGGACCCCACCCTATATCTGCAGTAATTGCTGCATCTAATGGTGTGGTACTGCTGACTTCCTTACCAGCTGTAGCTTTCTGTTTTCTGACCCTGTTATTACTGGCTCCTGCTTTATTTTAGGGATGTTAACCTGCTCATATGTGTCTGCTAGAACACTGGGGGTAAACTCCATCTTAAAGGCTCTTCAGAGAAGGGCTTCATGAGTTTTCCTTTCACAGGCCTTTATTGCATCTGTTTTCTCCAGTTCCTCTCTCTTCCTCCCCTCCTCCTTTCTGCCTGATCAGAGCAGGGGATGTTAGCTTTTCTTAGGGGCACCTTAGAGCAAGCCAGTCACAATATATGAGAATATGTTGTTCTAGGAGCCTGCCCCCAGGTCGCAGATTCAGACCTCTGGAAACAGCCTAGGCTATTCTCAAATTCTCAAGTGGGTTTCCAGTATTCAGCCTCCAGCTAAGCTCCATCCCTGTGGGCTGTAAGTTGGAATGAGTAAACAGGCCAGACATCTAATCCTCCCTGTGCCAGCATCCACCTGGATGGCATGGCAGAGAAGGGAGAGCATGGGGGCCCAACTCATTCACTATCAACAGGTCTTGTTCATTTCTTTTCTCTAGGAAAAAGCAGCACTTCTCTCCATCTGTGAGAGGTGGACGCCAAGAGCCCGTACATTGCAAGCACACTTTCCTCCTCTGCACAGAGTGCTGTCTTTGCTGCCATGGACCTACACAGTGTTTAACAGAAAACCACCAGGGGCTTAGGTGTTCTTTCATCTTAGTAGTTCCAATATCCTCAACCACTGTGGTAAGATGTCTACATGGCAAGTTAATTCAGGCACGAAACACAATGTGGGCAGGATATGTGGGTGGGCTCCAGCCAGTTCCGGTGGCTGCTTGGACCACTTCACAGAGACTTGCTCCAAGGAACAAGGAGAGGGCTTTGTGAAGTGCTTTGACTCTCATTGAAATGGCTGCTCCAAGAGGTGATTTCTCACTGCAGGAGGATTTGGGAATAGCAGTAGGAGACAGGAGAGTATAAAGCCAGGTTTTATCTCCGGCCCATTTTGACCAGTTTTGTGGCCTTGCGTGTCTCCGAGCTACAGTTTCCTTATCAATACAGTGAAGACTGAATATACCCTATAGAACCATAGTGAGGTTCACATCACACAGTGTGAGAAGTCGTTTTGTAAACTGGAAAACACCACAAATAAAAAGAGGCTATTGTTATTGGGTTCATTATTCTGAGGCAGGAGAACCAAGGTCTAGTAGGTTGGGCGCAGTGGCTCACGCCTGTAATCCCAGCACTTTGGGAGGCTGAGGCAGGCAGATCACGAGGTCAAGAAATCGAAACCATCCTGGCCAACATGGTGAAACCTTGTCTCTACCAAAAATACAAAAATTAGCTGGGCGTGGTGGTGTGCACCTGTAGTCCCAGCTACTCGGGAGGCTGAGGCAGAAGAATTGCTTGAACCTGGGAGGCAGAGGTTGCAGTGAGCTGAGATCACGCCACTGCACTCCAGCCTGGTGACAGAGCAAGACTCCGTCTCAAAAAAAAAAAAAAAGAAAAGAGAAGTAAGCATTAGATATCACACAGTCTGAGATGCTTGGAGAATAACACAAGCCTCTGTAGATCCTCCTAGGATCCTTCTTCTGGAATATTCTGTGATGACAATGGCAGAACGGGGCGGGGGGGGGGGGGGAGGTGGCATCATACAACACTGCCCTTGTTAATGATAAAATGGCCAATTCTCCAATTCTATCAGCTGTGATAGAACTCAGCCCAAATCATTTTATTGCTAACCCTCAAATCACCTGATTAATTCTCAACTCATTGGAAAGACGATGTAGTGTTAAGAGCACGAACCATAGGACCAGGATACCTGGACGTTAGCCCATCTCTGTCTCCCTCTAACTAGAGAATTTGAAGTAAGTGACACGACTCATCTGTGTTTCAGTATAGCCATCTGTAACATGGAGATGATAATACTGTCTACCTCATAGTGTGAGAATAAAATGAAAAAGAAATGGAAAGTACTTCGGGAAACTTCTGACACATATTAATAGTAAACTAAGTGTCACTACTATTGTTTTCCAATAAAATAGTCCACTGTTAAAAAACAAAATGTGTGTTCTAATTTGTAGGAGGAGATGGGTTCTTCAGGCACGATGAAGAATGGAGTTTGATTTGACTTCAAGAAATCCAATCCCTCCTCCTCCACTCCAGTGTGAAGGGTCTGCCATGCCAAAATAAGATTAGAGTCCAGTAGAGCTATATAGTGTGCATATGTACTTTAATAAGCTGGAAATAAAGAGTGGTGACATTTCCTCTTGGTGGTAGAGCCCAGAACTAGATAAAAATGGGCTGTGAGGCTGAATCTGGGCTCTTCCATCAACTGCTGTGTGACCGTGGATGCCTGACGTCTGTTTGTGCCTCACTTCCTAAACTTGCAATGGAATAACAATAGTGCCTGCCTTCTCGGTTTGTTGTTCAGAGCAGTCACTGAATAGCTACACAGTAAAACCCAGCTATGATTGTTATCAGGATACCATTTGCCATTACCCAACCTTGTGATTTGGGATTCGGAGAAACCGTATAAATTTCATCTTTCACGTTAAAGTGGAAGAACCAAAAGCTAGATAAATCTAACCTAAAGCCGTATTTTTGTTAAAGACAAGGAAAGGAAATGGCACATCATCACAATCAAGTTGTTTGGTCATACAGTATGACAGTATCTACGATCATCAATTTATGTCACTTTTTTTAAAATTATAAAAAAATTTTGTAATGCAAAATTATTTCAATTACAAAGCATTTCCATACCTAAAAGCTCAGTCCCCTTTTAGGGGGAATAGACATTCCTCAATTTTTACAAATAAACTGACCTGGTAGGCCTGAGTGTTCCTAGTCTTTGTTTTTAACATCAGATATGGAGGACAGGGTACTAAACAGTGTCCACTGATTCTGGTCACTCTCAAGTGCCATTTGTTTTTTCAGTTTTGCTAGAACTTGGCACACCTTCATATTTAGAAGCAACGTAACTTCAAGGATCACTCATCGGAATGTTTGCACAAACTCATAAGTGGCAAGAACTGAAAATGCCGTGTGATTGTCAAAGTTTTAAAATAGTCCTATGGGGTTGGTGACCTCAGTCAGCTCAGCCATCGAGTTTGGGATCCGACAATAAAAGTCATAAAGTGAGTCAACTGAGTCAGGATGCAATCGCATTATTTTTCTCTTCTGACTCCTCTAGCAAAGCAAAAGTTTTGGTGTTAGGGCTGTCTCTTCAGGTAGTGAGTTTGGTTTCCAGCATGCTGGGAGCAGCTCTGGAGAACGCTGAAAAGAAGAATAGGCTGCCAGAGTCCAAGAACCAGTATCAGTAAAGTTAGTATAAGATTTAATAGACTAGAACGTACCTACCCAAACCATTTCTCCAGCCTGATAATCCAGGGCAATTAAGAGAAATTTTCCTGGCATTTTTTAGCATTTTAAAAGTTTCGTCTGGGCAAACATAGAAATAGATGACTACATTACCCAGACCTTACCACTGTTTGTTTTTGAGACTCTGATGTTAAAGTAAAGACTAGCCTAGCACAGCAGCTATGTTCGCCCTGGCCTGAGAGGAGGCAGAAACTTGGGAGGAAACAGGGTCTTTGGAGTTACTGGGCTTCCACAAGGATCTTCAAGGTTTGCAAACACCAGACAGACAGGACTCTATCCCTGATGTGCAGGCCAGTCCTTCCTCCTTCACAATGA